GCTGAAAAACTAAGCATCAATAGTAAATTAGTTGTACAAATAATTTGGAGTATATAGTAGAAGAAAAAAATTTAGATACAAAGTAAAAAACGACGACTAGATTTAAAAAACTCGATTGTGAAGCTGAAAAACTAAGCATCAATAGTAAATTAGTTGTACAAAAAAATTGGAATATATATAGTAAGAGAAAAAAATTTGGATACAAAGTAAAAAACGACGACTAGATTTAAAAAACTCGATTGTGAAGCTGAAAAACTAAGCATCAATAGTAAATTAGTTGTACAAAAAAATTGGAATATATATAGTAAGAGAAAAAAATTTGGATACAAAGTAAAAAACGACAACTAGATTTAAAAAACTCGATTGTGAAGCTGAAAAACTAAGCATCAATAGTAAATTAGTTGTACAAATAATTTGGAATATATAGTAGAAGAAAAAAATTTGGATACAAAGTAAAAAACGACGACTAGATTTAAAAAACTCGATTGTGAAGCTGAAAAACTAAGCATCAATAGTAAATTAGTTGTACAAATAATTTGGAGTATATAGTAGAAGAAAAAAATTTAGATACAAAGTAAAAAACGACGACTAGATTTAAAAAACTCGATTGTGAAGCTGAAAAACTAAGCATCAATAGTAAATTAGTTGTACAAATAATTTGGAATATATATAGTAAGAGAAAAAAATTTGGATACAAAGTAAAAAACGACAACTAGATTTAAAAAACTCGATTGTGAAGCTGAAAAACTAAGCATCAATAGTAAATTAGTTGTACAAATAATTTGGAATATATATAGTAGAAGAAAAAAAATTGGATTTACATACACTATACAAAACGGAACTAACTCACGTTAGAAAGAGCAATGGTAAAATCAGGTGAACTACCAATGTTAGAAAATATTGAAACTTTTTCTGACAAAGATCATATTTACAAAGATTGGATAAATTTTGACACTAGTTATGAAAAGTTTGCATATAAGGGAATTAAACTAGACAAAGTTTTAAAAAACTTTAAAAATGATATAAAACTGTCAAAATTGTTGCCGTTGAACGAAATTACGTTACTAAAAAATCACATTAAAAAATTTCAACAACAACTTGTTGAAAAAAAGCAATTTATTAATCTTGAAAACAATTTGCAATTTCAGATAGTTGAAATACTACAAAACTATTTTGAAAAAAATGAAAATTTTTTAATGGGAAAAAAATCTATTGAAATAAACGATAGAGGATTTATGAAACAATTATATCTTGATGCATACAACCAAATAAACAAACTAACGGCCCATAACACAGAAAGTTCATTTAAAAATACAAAACAACAATTAAAAAAATGCTACAGTTTAATAAAAAACAAACTTAAAAATCCAACAAACTATAAAAGTTTACATGAAAAACTTGATGAAAATTTTAAATTAATTAATATTATTGAAAATAAATGTCAAAGTATGTGTGAGCACATTGACGAGTATAATAATAAAAAAATTTCTGCACGGCGTCAAAAGAAGCTAACTGGACTAATTAAAACTGATTTAGAATACATAAAATTTCATGCAGCAGAAGTCATCGTTGATAATAAACTTGTTGATAATATTGAAGAAGAATATTTTGACATGTTAATAAAAAAAATTGATTTAAATGCTTTACAATACAAAAGCACTAAACTTGGAAAAAAACAAGTCATAGAAAACATTGGTAATTTAACAAAAGAGTCAAATACAAAATATTTTGGTTTTGTTGAGCCTTTATTTCATGGTTGCTTAAAATTAACTACATTAATAACAGATAAGATTCAGAACAAAAAATTACAACTGGTAAAACAAATTATTAATGATATGAATATGACACAAGAAAAAAGTTTAAAAATTGAAAATAATGTAAAAAAAGCTCAAATGTTTTTAACGATATTGGAAAACAAAAATACTAAATGTATTAAAATGTAAAACAATATTTATAATAAAAAACTTTTAAAACTAATGTGTTCGTGCTACATTGTGTAAAATTGATAAGTTGAACACCGTTAAAGGTGTAAAATTGTGAATGCAAGATTGTGTACAAATAATTAAATGTTTTTAAGGTTTTAAGTTTGTTTCAACCAAAATCCAATAGTTTTAGTTTTAAAACCTTTTATTAAACAACGTCCCCTGTGTTTTCTTGTTTCTTCAAAAAAGTTAAAATTATTTGTAAACAAAAAAAAATTAAAAATATTACGAATAATTTTATGTTTATCCAAAAAAAATTGTTAAAAACTTTCATGTCATGAAAGATTTTTTTGTTTCCAAAAATCGCTATTTTCTTTAACACCGTCTTTAACAGTTTTAAAATTGTTTTTTAAAAACTCAAGATTAACAGTAACTAATTTTAATTTGGGAAATTCTTCACTTAATTTATACAATTTTATAAGAAACTGAATATATGGATAAGTCCATTTAACGTTTTCACATGTTTTTAAAAAAGTTTCAAATTTGTAATTATTTTTTTTGCACATTTCTTTAATTTGGCTAAGAAAAAATCCGCCATTGATTGCCAAAACAATTGATGATTGTCTAATTTTTTTTGATTCGTTTAAAAAATTTTCATAATAATCACCAATAAAGTTTTTAGCTTCTTCTAAAGAATTAAGTTTTTTTGTTCGAATTTCAAAATTTTTGTTTATATCTATATTTAAACTTTTTTCAAGAATTTGAAATATTTTATTTTTATTTTTAACTATTTTTTCAATAAAAAATAAAGTATTTTCGTTTAAAATATTTTCAACATTAAAATTTTTGTTTAAATTATCATTTAAGTTTTTAACTAAATCCTTATATTTATTTTTATTTTTTGATGAAATAATTTTAGCTGTATCAATTTGAAAATTTTTAATTAAATCAGATAAAGTTGGTGTAACATGTTTATTTTTGTCATCAGTTTTTAATTTATTCGAATTATTTTTATCACTTACATTTTTATATAATTCAGATGGATATAATTCAGAATCATCTGAATTATTTTCATTGTCAGAACCAATGTTTTTATTTAAATTATTAGATTTTTTATTCTTATTATCCATATTATCTGAATTATCTAAAGAACTAGTATCTGATTTATTTTCTAAAACATTTTTATTAGATGAAACATTTGAAATGATGTGTTTGTTCAAAATAAATATATTTGTTGCAAACTATAAAATAAACTAACGCAATTATGTTTAAAAACTAAAAAGGGCGTTTTTTAAAAAATGTGTAACATACAAATAATGATGCTTTAATAAAAAACTCATTATCAATTTGGTTACTAACTAAATGCATAGCAACACAAAAAACTGTTAATAACAATTTAAAACAACAATTTAGTAAACTATGTTTTTAATATTTTTAAACTTGTAGTGCACGAGTTTTTTTATTTTAAACGCGTTTATTATTTTAAAAGTTAATTGATTTGTTTGCAAAACACAAAAAAATCATTGTTTTAAATAAAAACGCAAAATAAATTGAAATTGAAATCTTATTTTGATAAAATTAACAACATTTCAGACGTTGTGAGTACATCTACAGCGTTTTTTTTATCATAAAACCACAAAGTGCAATACAAATGTCCTTGTAACCTTAAAATTTTTTTTAATTTGTGATTTCATACATTTAGATTTCCTAAGTTTTGTTATATGTAGCAAATTGCCCTCTACCAAAGCGAGCACTTCTTGGCTGGGTTCATCTTTGAGCCCAGCGGACACTTGAAGGCCTCCGCAAAAGCGGGCGTATTTCCGAGGACAGTGTTGACGCGGAAGCGACCGGGCGAGTGGACGCTGAAGCCAATGGAGGCCTTCGCCTCCGCCGGCGTCACATTCTCGCACCAGACGTGGGCGTGGGCGGCGAAGAAGAGCTGGTCGGCGTTCAGCGCCAGGTTGGGCAGCACCGGAGAGGGCTTTCCGGTGGCCTTCTGGTGCTCCCGGTAGGCCTCCCAGGCCTTCCTGATGCCGCCATTGTCGGCGATGTTCTCCCCCAGCGTGCGGTTTCCGTTGAGCATCTTCCCCGAGACCGGCTCCAGCAGGGCACTGTATTGGTCGGCGAAGCACTTTGACTTCTCATTGAACTTGGCGTGCGTCTCCAGTGACCACCAATTCCTCAGGTGGCCGTCCTTGTCGTACCGGGCTCCGTTGTTGTCGAAGGCGTGCGTCAGCTCGTGGCCGATGACAATGCCAATGGCGCCGTAGTTCATCGAGTANGCGCTGGTCGTCGAAGAAGGGCGACTGGAGGATGCCGGCGGGAATGGCTAGGACAAACGAAGTTAGTCAAATCCTTTTGATTAATAAAGTGACTTTAAAATACTTACTGATGGAGTTGGTGATTCGGTTGTAGAAGGCGTTCACAATGGTCGGGTCGTGGATGATTGATCGAGGATTCGGGAGGGTGACATTCTCTTGGTGCAGGAGGGACAGACTGGCCCGACGAGAGTCCACGGGAATGAGGAGGGCACTCTCGAAGAACTTTCCCCTCACTATGCTCTGGTTGTTCAGGTGGGGATAGT